TGGTTCTCGGGGTGTTCGTGTTTCTCCCGGCCTCACCCGGACTGTTGCTGGGCAGTCCAGGCCGTGCGGCCCGGGCCGTGTCCTTCTTTGACCCTTGGGTGCGGCAGAAAGTGTCCACGTGGGGGACACACGGTGGCTCTGTGAAGAAGTGCTTTGGGAGTGTCGAAAGATGCTTTAATTACGGTCTTCCTTTAGTAAAGGAAGAAGATAGAAGTCACTAAGAGATTAATTTTGTTCCGTATTGAAAGTTGCCAGTGCCGGGGAGGTAGCTCAGTGGCACAGTGCCTGCCTGGCGAGCACCAGGGCCTGAGTTCCCATTCTGGGTACTAAAAAGAAAGAAGAAGACATGTCCCTGCTTTGCCTCTGAAAGTCAGTATCTGCACTATAGATCTGTGATGGTGAATCTTTTAAAGAAAAGTGTCCAAACTGCCGCCCAAAACTATTTAATCACAGAGCCAGCCCTGCAATTAAACCTGAATACTGAGGTCTTAGTTCAGAAAAAACAAGGCATATTTAACATCTTCCGACTTTTTAAAATAAACAGTAACGTGCGTGCGGTAGCTCGCCACCGCCTCGGTAGATGCTTCAGCGCGGCGTTTTGCCGAGTCCCTCTCTGGCGTGGCCAGCCAGAGTGCTTTTCGCTGGGGAGCAGCCGTGGGACGGCGCAGGGCTTGCCTTACAGAGGCCGCTCTGCCTGTCGGGAAGGCGATGGGTGCGTGTGTGAGCAGAGAGAGCAGGGCTTGGCACCTTCTCACACCGGGTTCTTCGCCCACCTTGCCCTGCCCAGAGAAACGCCATCGAGCGCTTCTGCGGGGAGGTGAGGCGCCTGTGCCACGCGGAGCGGAGGAAGGACTTCGTGTCGGAGGCCTACCTCATCACGCTGGGCAAGTTCATCAACATGTTCGCCGTGCTGGACGAGCTGAAGAACATGAAGTGCAGCGTGAAGAACGACCACTCCGCGTACAAGAGGTGAGCCCGGGCCTGGTGCGCGTGGGCGCCGGCCGGCCGCGCTGGCCTTCGACCTGGGCCCGAGGGGATGTGCACCCCAAGTCCGGGCGCAAGGGCAGCTTCGTCTGTGTCTGGTGGTTTTGAGCCGCGTGGGAGCCCTGGCCCTGCGGTCAGCCTCTGCGTCTGTGGGGCCCTGGGAGGACTCGGGAGACGCCAGCCCTGCTGTGAGCGCAGGCGCTGGTCAGGGGGCCGCTTGGCCGGGACGCGGCGAGTTGGGCAGCGCGGGGGCGCCCGGCGTCAGAGCTGCAGCCCTGCGAGCGGACTGCTTGTCACTTGTGGGTGGGTCTGTGGCATGTGTGCGTTGTAGTAGCGTGGGGTCATGGCTTGGTCTCCCCAGGGGGCCCTGGGTCACCCTGAGCTTCCAGGTCCTTTTAACAGCTCTGCGTCACAGCAGTTTCATTTTGGAAGGTTGAGGACCTCCGGAAAGCAGCCGTCAGGCTGAGCTTTTCCTTACCGTAGGGAAATGCTTGGGGGAGCCTAACTGAGAACAGGGGCTTATTCAGTCATAGATGAACTCCTCGTAAGCCCCGCCCCCTGCCGCCCCCTCCACCCCAGACTGCAGGGCTGAAGATCACACCATCGAGCGGGGCGGGGGAGGACTCGCTCAGGCTCAGACGTTGGTAATAACCCTCCCAGAAGGACTACCCGGGGGTCCCAGGAGACACCTCGTTCTCTTTCAAGGCCGGGCCACCCGCTGGCCTGAGGCCTCCCGCCGGTCCCTGCCTGCTCGAGGTTTTTCATCCGCTCCCAGTGCCGCTGCCGTGGAGCCAGAGGCCACCACGCGGAGCACGGCAGTGCGCAGCGGGGCTCGGCCTGCGCTCCTGATGCCCGAGGGCAGCCGGGCCAGACATGCGTGCTGCGCTGGAGTCTGCTCAGAGCCAGGGAGGGCAAATGAGACGCTGACCCGTGTCCTCTGCTCTGGAAGGCGGCTCTGCTCTCAAATCAAGTGGGGAGAGATCTGTACTTTGCATCCAGATGTGCTTTTACTTGCGCAGTCTGGGAGTCTCCCAGCACTGTCCTTTTAACCACACTGCCTAGCCCCGGGCTCCAGGCTGAGGTGAGAGGGAGCCCGCGGTGGGGGCGCAGCGAGGTTCAGAAGTTGCGGATCTGCTCACCGCCTGAGCAGCGTCGCAGGGCTGAGTGGCAGGAGAGCCTGCAGGTGTCTCTGTGTCACTGTCTGCACTGAGGGGCCCCAGCCGTGACAAGAGGAGAGTCCCGGCCAGGCAGGGCCACTCAGCCCCCAAGCGCACTGCTGCACCCCGTGACAAGAGGAGAGTCCCGGCCGGGCAGGGCCGCTCAGCCCCCAAGCGCACTGCTGCACCCCGCTGCACAGGTGACCCACGGTGACACTGAGCGCTTTCTCAGCCTTCCAGGGGCGCCCTCGGTGGACGGTAATTCTCAGAGTTGCGCATTTTCTGCTCTGCAGAGCAGAGGCGCCTTACTTCCATGCACGGTCTAGAAGCAGCCTGAGGAGGGGGCCGCTGCGAGCGAGAGCGAGGAGGTGCAGCCTGACTGCCCGAGTCCCTGGAGCACAGGAGAGTGGGTGGGGCTGCTGCACCCCTCGCTGTCGCCCTGTGCCCCCCGCACTCCAGCCCTCGGCAGTGCGTGTACGGTCTGCGCTTTTCTGCAGCTGGGCGTGGCCAGCACAGCTGCTCCTGAGCCAGCTGCCGGGACAGCCGTCCATATGGCTGGCGAGGCCCGAGGAAAACGGACAGGAGCAAGTGTCCACCCCTCCTTCCTCGGCCTCCACACGTGGACCCCAGCAAGGATTCAGAGCAGTGAAGGGAACCTGTTAACAGAGCAAGGCTGTGTTTGAGTCAGCTAATACTAGCTTGGACTCTGTATCATGTTTTAAACCCACGGAAATAGAAGCTACACAGGGTCGCAGTCTCCTTCTCTTCCTCTGAGTTCGGTGGGCCGCCCCGAGCAGCAAGCTCCGGGTGGACGTCCGTGGCTCCGGCGGTCCTGCTCTGCCATCTTCATGTGTTGCCTCATGCTCCAAAATGACGGCTTGAGCTCGAGCTGTCATTTCTGCATTCCAGTGGGCAGGGAGGAAGGAGAAAGGAAGAGTAAATGTTTGAGTGCTCGACAGCTCCTGGCACCTGTCTCCCGAGTCAGCCCTGGGCTACCTGGGCGCCGCTGCCGCAGGGGGCCCAGCACCTTGCCGCCTCACGCAAGTCTCAGGCTTGTTCGTGAGGAGGAAGGGGCGGAAGTGAATTTAGGGGCATTACCAGTCTCACCAGTTGTCGTGGGAACTTTTCCTTAATCGAACCCTGAGCTTCACAGGGGTGCAGACCTATGCGGGCAGCTCCCACGACCCTCTCTGAGGGCATCCTGGGTGTGCGGACAGCTCACCCACCCCCACCCACTCTGCAGACCTCGCAGACCCTGGCTCTGCCGGGAGGGCTGTGCCTCGCTGCGCAGGTCCTGCTCCACACGTCACGCTGGAGCTGCCTCAGCTGGACAGTCTGGGCCCGGGGGCCCCCAGCGCACAGCCGAGGATGAGTGTCCTTGTGAGAGGGACGGCGGCCAGCACTCCCTGCAGAGAACCGTGGGAAGGTCTTGTGGGGTCTTGTGGGGACCGTCAGGCTTGGGGCCCGGGAGCCTGTGTCCGGGGGCGCGCTGAGGGCAGCAGGCGTGAGCGGCCCGGTTGGAATGAGATTGTCCTGGAGCCCAGGGCTGGAGCCCCTCGGGCCTGAGCACTCCCCCAGCGTCTGCCATCCACCCTTCCATGGGTGAATAACTGAGGTTCCTGTTCTGTCCAGGATTCATTCATTCATTCTCTTTCTTTCTTTTCTCTGTTTCTTTTAAAAAAATTTTTAGCATGTTGGTGCATCTCGGCATTAACTTTTTCTACTTTAAGGGCCGCTCAGTTTCTGCGTAAAATGGCAGACCCCCAGTCCATTCAGGAGTCGCAGAATCTGTCCATGTTCCTGGCCAACCACAACAAGATCACACAGGTAAGGCTCGGTCCCGGGTGGGACGGGCCCCGGGTGGCGGGCAGGCCGGGGCACCAGCTCTCGCTCTGTCTCGAAGTCTCTGCAGCAGCAGCTCGAGGTCATTTCCGGTTACGAGGAGCTCCTGGCAGACATCGTGAACCTGTGCGTGGACTGCTACGAGAACAGGATGTACCTGACGCCCAGTGAGAAGCACATGCTACTCAAAGTACGTGTGGGGGCCACGGAGCGGAGGGCGCAGTGTGTGTGTGGGCCGCGCTGGCCGCTTCTGACTGCCATGCTGTCACGCGGAGCCGCACCCCTGCCTCACGGCCAGGCCCCCTGTGATGTGTCCCACCCAGGGAGGCCTTGGGCAAGACTTTCTCAGCGTTGAGCTGCTTTTAGCAGAGGTCGTATAAGATTCCATTTATTAAAGATATGATTGATTGCTGGTACTCACATAGTTGCCCCTCAATTTCCTTGGGAGATTCGTACCCCAGGGGCACTGAATTCCACCTGTGCTTAAGCGCCTTAAGTAAAGTGGCAGGATATTTGCGTGCAATGTGTGCATACCGTCCTGTGTATTTAGAATGCTAATACATCATCGCCTTATGTAAATAGTTATTATATTGTGTTGCTTAGGGAGTGATGAACAAAATAATTCTGTTCAGATTCATTCCAGATACAAACATGGTTTTGCAGTGTTTTCAGTCTGTGGATGGTTAAATCCAAGGATGCAGAACGCAGTGATAAGGGGACCCTGTGTGCTAATAGTTAGAGGAGTAGTAGACCTGCAGGGTGCACGAGAGGTTTACTTGGGCTCGCAGGTACAGTCACCCAAGCCGGATGGTCTGGCAGTTGATCCAAGCACCCGCCTCAGGGAGGAGGAGCTGTTCCTCTCATGGAGGGAGAGGCCTTCCAGGTCCCGCCCCTTCCCAGCAGACCACCCCCCCACCCCCCGCCGCCCCAAACTGCACCTTCAGCTATAAACTCCTCTGTGGACTGATGCACCCTTGTGTATCACAGCCCCATGATCAGTCACTTCTCAAAGCCCCACTGTGAGCATCTGAGGCTTTTGTGCGACATGGAGATGTAACCATAGCACCTGTCTTGTTCTTATTAACGTTCTGCTTCAGGTCAGGGAGGGTTTTAACTGTTTCTCTCACTGAGCAGATGAGATGGCAGCTCCCAATCCCTTTGCTCCACTCCCCACCTCTGCGTGTGGGAGCCCAGGTGACCCTTTGCTGGGTGTCCCGCTGCCCGGCCTCAGATCCCCTCCCTCGGGAGGGCGCTGTGATCAGTGCGGCCTGCAGTGGCCCTGTGGGTGGAGTGCTCAGTGGCGGCAGGAATGTCGTGTCTGCACTGTGCTGTGCAGGGGCCCCAGCCAAACCCCAGGAGCAGGGGAGATGGGAGCGCCTGCCCTAAAACCTCACCGTCACACGTGACTCCGTGCTGCACAGCGCAGTTCCCCACGACGGGCCAGAAACCTGCCCGCCTCTCCGTGACTCCAGTGAGGGAAAACTTGCGCGCAAAGCAGCAGACAGGCAGCCTTAACATACATCTTTATGGTACTCTCTTGAAGACCCGTCTGGAGATACGGGATATTAAGTTAGAACAAGCTTTTGTAAAGAACACACAACGTAATGCCCACGCCACTTTCATGGGGAGCTGGGCACCTGCTGACTCTGAGGTCACGTTGGCGGGGGTGCTCCACCCCGGTGGTGCGCTTGGCCATCCTTGTTAAGGGCGCTCTAGGATCAGTGCTTTAGCTGTCCTGGAACCTGATGGCGGCAGGTGTGAAGTGAATTCTAAAAGGCCAGGACGGACGGCAGGCTTTGGGAGCCCTCTCCTCATTCCCAGTGGCAGCATGTCTGACCCGGCAGTCTGCTCGGCAGGAGTCGGTGCCGGTGTTTGTGCCTCGGCAGGAAGTTGAAACAGCCGTGGAGACGCTGTAGCTGAAGGAGTGCACTCACCGGTTAGGATAGCTCTTTCCTGCCTAGGAGTTTGCAGAGGGCCCTTTGGAGAGGACGCGCTGTGATTTCGGGTGCGCACAGTGGCGGTGTGTCCGCACGGGAGTGCAGCGGTCAGGCTGAGTGCTCACGCCCCCGTTGTGGCTTCCAGGTCATGGGGTTCGGTCTCTACCTGATGGACGGGAGCGTCAGCAACATCTACAAACTGGACGCCAAGAAGAGAATCAACTTGTCCAAAATTGACAAGTACTTCAAGGTGAGCTACTGTTTCCTTTTTTTACGGTAAATGTTTTCATTGACGTGTGCAGCTGGAAGCTCTGTGCAGAGCCCTGTGTGGGCATGATGCCTGTCAGGAGCTGGCGCGGGAGGGGACCGGCCCAGCCTGTCACGCGTGGCGGCTGCTGGCTTGTTCCTGCTCCCTGCATGGCCCTGCCTGTGTTGGACTGGATGGAAACAGTTGTGCAGTTTATATTCTCGACGTCGGGCTGCCCTCCCCCAAACTGCTCGCCACGCGCTGCCGCAGCCTGGGGCTGAGTGCTTGGGTTCTCGTGGTGTGGATTTGCTTTGTACGATCCTGAGTCACTTGCCCCTCCTGTTGTGGACGAGCATCGATCGTTGGTGGCTTTTGCCAGGTGCAGACTTGCTGTGTTCCCGTCCTCTACCACGTGCTGAGCGAGAGAGGTGTGTTCCCCGGTGCCTGTGCGCACAGCGTTGGCCTTACCGGAGGCCGTGCTGATGCCAGACCTTTCTGCTGGCCCCGCACTTGTTGAGGGGTGGCCTCCTGTGTACGTCACTGTGGCTGAGTTGTTGAGTGCTTACTGGTGGCTGGTTGACAGTTCCCTTGTTGCTTTTCATGTGATTAGCCTTTGTGTGTTTTCTTTGTGAAGCACCACTTCATGTCTTTTACTCTTTTTTTCCCTATTGACTTATAGTTATTTGTACATTCTGTACACACATTCGGTGTCAGAAACACATGTTCTAAGATATGTGTTCTTCCATGTACGGCTTGACATTTCCCTTTTTTTTTTTTGGTGGTCCCAGGGCCTTGCATACTAGGCAAGTGCTCTACTATGGAGCTACAATTCTTGTTTATCGTATTTGTGTGGTGAGAACATGTAAGACCTCTTCTCAGTAAATTTCACCTCTGCAGTGCAGTATTGCTAATGTTGTCACTCTGGGTTCAATCCCCACCACCATGAAACAAGGAAATTAATAAAATACTGCGCCATCTGACACTGGAGCGTGTATCGCACCATTCAGCGAGAGCTTTCTCTAGAATTTTTGAGGCAGGATTTTTTGTTGTTGTTGTTTTGTTTTTTTGAGACAAGGTCTCGCTCTGTAGCCCAGGCAGGCATCAAACTTATGGCCATGCTCCTGCCTCAACCTCCCTAGTGCTGGGAATGCAGGTGTGCGTCCAGCTGGGGTAGTATTTTGCTTTGAGGTCTTACACATCTTTTGTTCGCTTTATTCAGGCATATTTCTATTTTTTGATGCTATTGCAAATTGTTTCTCTATAAGTTTTCATTTTATAATTACAGTGGTACTAAGTTGGGTGCGAATCGAATCAGATCAATGGTTAGGTTCAATGTTGACCTTATGGGGAAGTTTGATTCGGTTCTTGTACAATTTGATTTGAGACCAGAATCATGGAAAAAATTTAGTTCATGAGCCAAGGTACTACTGTATTTGCTGCTAGTATACAGAAATGTGGCCATTTTTTTAGTAAGCATGAATATAACAAGATAGATTAATTCTCATATTTGAATAGTTTATATGTATGTTGGTTCTTGTGTTAGTTACTTTTTTCTTGTGATGCCCTCAGGCCATCTGCTTGATTCTCTTGTTCCTTCTCAGCAATGGAGATCTCCTCAACTCTATCTTTGCAGTCCACAGCTTTACAGGAGCTTCCTTTCTGGCCAGATTCACAACATTTTACATCATCCTACTGGGCTCTTTGCTCTCAGTTCTCAACATAAATCTGGCTAAAAGCCCCCAACAACAGCCATGCCACTGCCCCAACATTCGACTGCCTGGAAATTTCTTTGCCAGATTAATCAGTCCTCCGCCCTTAATCTGAGTCTCAGGCAAAGTCTCTGTACACAAGCAAAATGCAGGCAAACTTTCTGCCAAGCCATAACACACATCACAGAACAGCCTAAGGTGTTCCAGCTCTACTCTTTCAGGCAAAGTTTCCAAACCTTTCCAAACTCTTCCCATAAGCCATTCCCAAAGGCTCTTGAATCATGTGGTCAGTGTAGTCATAGCAACAACCCCATTCCTCTGGTACCAAATTCTGTCTTGATTACTTTCCTCTTGTTCCTAGGACAAAATACCCAACGCCCAAAATTAAGGAAGGAAAAGTTCATTTAGCTCATAGTTTGTGGAGGTTTCAGTCCATACTCGGCTGGCTCCAAGGCAGAGTGGCACATGGCAGAGGGCAACAGTTCATGGCAGCGGAAAACAGCAAAAAGCAACAAGGGCAAAAGGGAGAAGCAGCGGAGGCAAGCGGCCTCTTTCCCTCCCTTACACTGTATGCAAATTATCCACCCCAGGGCGGGTGTAGCAGTTACATCCATAATTCCAACACTGGACCGTGGATCAGTCATAAACTCTAGAAGCCCGCCCTATGACTGGTTTTGGGCAGACATTCAGATACAAACCATAACAGTTCTTAAACTGTATTATATTCTCTCTTTTTTGGTATCAGGATGCAAACTCAGGACCTTGCGCTGTGCTACTAAGTTATATCCCCGGCCTGTATTTTGTTTTTTTCAAAGTGAATATAGAAGTTACTTATATTTTTTGTACTAAATGCTTTGCAAAGGTAGCATTCAGCCCAAGACAATTATTAGCATTAGTCATTTTCTTTGTACTTGTGTATTTGATGAGTGAACATAAATAATGATTCTGTTTTTTGTTGTCCTTTGAATACAGCAGCTGCAGGTGGTTCCCCTCTTTGGGGACATGCAGATAGAACTGGCGAGATACATCAAGACCAGCGCCCACTACGAGGAAAATAAGTCTCGGTAGGTAGAGTGAGCCTGTCTGGGAGAGCTCAGCGGGGCCCTCCAGGGCAGTTTCAGAGCCCTGCTTGTCTGGAGATGGCACTTCCGACGTTCCCAGCAGTCTGAGGCTGAACGTCCCACACACAGTCCTTGTTACCTGTAGCTGCTTACATTTAAATTCATTGAGGAGTGCAATTACATTTTTAGTTTTCTGAGTCGAACAATGATGTTTCAGATGTTAATAATCAGAGGCTACCGTACTGCACAGCACAAACTTAGAACCTTTTCATCACCCCAGAAATCCCAGCTGGACACGTGGTTGGGAACACGGAAATGGCTCTGTGGGCCAGAGGTGAGCTGATGATGCCTATGGCCCGCTCTGGAGGGGGCGGTGTTTGTGTCAGCGAGAGACCAGTGATGTCTGTGTCGGCAAAAACAGAGCTCACAGAACTGTGGCCCGAGGTACTTTGCTAAGGCCCAGATCTCAGAGTGGTCTTGACACTTTTCGAAGGGTGTCTTTAAAACCAGGAGAGGATGGTGGTAGTAACTGCGTGACAGAGACAGGGTGGCCCACATACACTATAGTGTTTATCCTCTGGCCCTGTGCAGAGAAAGTTGGTCAGCCTGTGCTATCAAAGACCTGTAGCTCACTGTTACAGATGATTGTAAATGCATGTACTCTTTGTTGGGGTAGAGTTGAGACAGGGTCTCACTATGTATTCTAGGCTGGCCTGGAATTCACTATGTAGCCCAGGCTGGCCTCAAACTTGCAGTGATCCTCCTGGCTTAGCCTCCCGAGTGCTGGGATTGCAACCGCGCCTGGCACAGTACTCTTTACTGTAGATCCACACAGTCCATTGAGTCTCTGCATTGCTTTGACTTTTGCTGATTGCTGACACCTGCAGCTAACCTGTGGCAACCATTCACCACAGGTTTGACAAAGCTGGATCTCAGTCAGCAGAGCTCTTTCTGTAAAGACCAAAGAGTACAGTGGCCCCTTGGTTCACAAACTTTGCTTTCCACGATTCTGGTTGCAGAATTCCTTCCACAGTTCTGGTTCATGAACTTCATTTTTTCCATGATCATAATCACGGAACAAATTCTTCGACCAGAATCGCGGAGAGTGAAGTTCGTGAGCCGGGACACAGTACCACTGTAAGCACTTTTGGCAGGACAGGCCACAGGCGGTCCCTGTGTAATCTTCTGTTCACTTAAACAAACCCTTGAAAAATATGCTGTCTGTTTTGCGTGGCCCTGGAGCCGTGCCTGGCGTCCTTGACTGCCCCCTGTGATACCGGTGCTGTGCTGGTGCCGCTCCGTGACGCAGGGCTCCCCCGCACCCAGGTGGACCTGCACGTCCTCGAGCAGCAGCCCGCAGTACAACATCTGTGAGCAGATGATCCAGATCCGCGAGGACCACATGCGCTTCATCTCGGAGCTGGCGCGCTACAGCAACAGCGAGGTAGGGGCTGGGCTGCCTGGGGGTCACCAGTGTGCTTGTGCACCTCAGCATTAGCTGTAGTTGCTTTTACAGACATAATTCAGTACCAAATCTCAGCACTTTTTAAAAAGTACCCATTATAATTGGCGAGGCAGTGAAGTTAGCATTGTTGGTACCTGTTCAGTTATACAAAATGCAGCTTTTCTTTGGGAAGACACTGTTGGGGTGCAGCTCAGTGGTAGAGCACTTGTGTAGCATGTGCAAGGCCCTGGTTCAGTCCCTGGCATCACACACACACAAAAAAAGAATTCTTAAAGATAAAAAAAATCATTGTGGCATTTCCCAGTCATTACTATGGTTTCCAGCAGCTAGGAGACAGGGAGGACACTGGGGAAAGAAAGGGCACATCTTGCTCTTTTTTTCCTTTTATTTTTTGAGAGAGGGTCTTGCTGTGTACTTCAGGCTGGCGTTGAACTCACTGTGTAGTCCAGGCGGGCCTCAAACATGTAGCAGCCCTCCTGCCTCAGCCTCCCGGGTGCTGGGATTATAGGCATGTATCATCACACCTGGCAAGAAAGGGTACTTCTGACCTGTGCACCCTTCCCTCCTGAAGGAAAATCCCGAAGCCAGGGGTGGCAGGAGCCTGTGGGGTGGTGGAAGGGGCGTCCTCGGGGTGTGTGTCCCAGTGTCCAGGAAGTGGCCCTGGAGTTTACTCCTAGGAGGAGGGCTTCCTCCTCTGCCGTGAGGCCTCCGTCATCCCTTTCTCCTTTGCAGCCAGGTTTGCTGCAACCCTGTCTGGCCACCCACGTTCTTTCACCTGCTCAGTGTGGCTTCCCGGCACGTGAGGTGGACAGGGAGGCAGAGGCCGCCGCGGGGAGGGTGCAGCCGGGCGGTCACTCCGCACATCTGAGTGGGCCAGGACTGCAGTGCAGTGGCGGCTGCGTGCCAGGGGAGCAGCGGGGAGCAGTCCAGGGTCGTGTCTGCTTCTCAGGCAGGCCGGTACGAGTAGTGGAGAACAGCTCCGTTCACCGTCTCTCCTGCTATAGGATGGGGCACCCTGCCCCCACGCGACAGTGCGCATCATCGTGTAGAGGAGAGGGTGGGAAAGCCTGTTGCCCCCTGTGGAGGCATCGCCTGCCCTGGCCCCGGGAGCCAGCGCGGCTGCGGTGTGGGCGTGAGGGGCCGCAGCCCTCCATGACACAGGTGTGCGTGAGGGGCCGCCGCGTTGAGGGGAGGCTCTCACAGTGTGGGTCGTGCTCTTCCAAAAGCGCATTTTGCAGTGTATGTTTCCTGGCTGATCTCATTTTATTTTTTTGGTCATTATTCTCTTTTTGTTAATTAAAGTTTTATTTTTATTTGTACATGTTTGCAGTATATAATCGTTACATTCCTTGTGGAGAGTTGGTACATATACCTAATACATCTTAATTCTTTTCGAGATGATCTTTTGGGGGCCTTTTTGAGATAGGGTCTCACTGTGTAGTTCAGGCTGGGCTTGAACTTGCTTAGGTAGCGCGGGCTGGTCTTGAACTCGCAACAATCCTCCTGCCTCAGTCTCCGAGTGCTGGGATTACAGGCGTGCGCCACCATGCCCAGCTCAAAAACCCTTAACAGGTTTTTGGAGATACAATTCACCTTTAGTGTAACTCACCTGAAGAAATTGTACAGCTAAAGGTTTTGCTCCATTCCCGGGGTTGAACAGCGTCTCCCCCACCCGCCACTGCACACTTTCGTCAGCCCCAGAAGAAACCTCCCCCAGGAGCGGCTGGCACTGCCGGCCCTCCTCGCCAGCCAGGCCGGCTGCTGTTTGCACGGTTTGCCGGATCGGAGTGTCTCATGTAAACCGTGAACTATGCAGGGCTCCTTTTTGACAGGCCCCTTTCACTTCAGTACTGTTTGAAAGGTTTTCCCGCGTTGAAGTGTGCGTTGGTCTGTTTCTTTTTGTGGGTGGAGAATAACCAGGCGTGCGGCCGTTCCGCAGTTCACTGCACTGATACGCAGCCGAGGCGCGCTCGGGCTGGGCAGTGCCGCCGTGCGCGGGGGCTGTGAGTTTCAGCGGAAGAAGCTTGCGTTCCTCTTGGGCAGCTGCTCAGGGTGGAGCTGCTGAGTCAGGCTGGTCGCTCCGCGTTTTGAGGAACTGCCAGGCTGTTCTCAGTGACTGGCTCTGACCAGCCGTGCGCGAGGGCCCTGATATCCCCGCATCTTCAGCACTTGCTGTTGTCTACTTTATCCCTTTCTTTTGATCCCACCTGTTCTGGTGGACGGAAATGGTATCTGGTTGTGCTTTGGATCTTGATGTCCACGTGCACGCATTGGTCACTTGCACACCTGTTTTCAGAAACATCCACCCAGATCTCTTTCCCGTTTCGGGTTCTTTCCATGGGTGGCTTGGGTAGAGCCCTAGAATCCGTTGCTGGGTGGGAGGGTGACTGTCTGTGATTTTCCGCCTGATGCCTGATGTCATGCCTGCCCCTGTGCCAGGTGGTGACGGGGTCGGGGCGCCAGGATGCCCAAAAGACGGACGCAGAGTACCGCAAGCTCTTCGACCTGGCGCTGCAGGGCCTGCAGCTGCTGTCGCAGTGGAGCGCGCACGTGATGGAAGTGGTAGGTGCTGGCGCCAGGTGTGCTGGGATTCCGGCAGCCCCGTGCCCGGCCACCCGGGTGGTTGTGCCTCGAGGACGTGGCAAAATGATACGCACGTTTCCTGTTTTAACTTCGGTCAGTAGGTCCAGAGTGAGTTCCTCAGCTTTTCATCTGTGGCCCAAGAAGTTCTGATGATGCCCCCGTAGAAATGTTTCTAAGGTGACTCCGAACATTTTGCTCGTGTAACGTAAATAAAGGCCTCACCTTTTAAAACGCTGATAGAACTAAATTTGTGCCATTGGGATGGTCTTTCATTTTCAGTTTTATTTATATTTTAATTCTCCTTTTTGAAACAACAGCTCTAGCTCTCAGTACCTTTTAGCATTAGTGAAATTGTTTCTGGCCCATGTAAAGCTTTGAATAGTTATTCCTTTCGGGCATTTATTTTGGTCAGAGGAAAATTATCTAATGGGAAAATCACATGAGCGTTTGAGAGGCAAATTCTTTTTTAAATGGTGCTGGGAGGCCTGGAGTCTTACATATTCAGTGCCCAGTGTGCAGGTCTTTTGCCTAAGCCTGCAATTAGATGGCCGGAGCGTTTGCCCCGACAGAGGTGGGCACTGTGCGTGTGTTGGCCCTTCTGAAGGCCCCTGTCAGCGGCCTGGGCCACGGCTGTGAGTCAGACCAGACCGGGGCCCTGTTCCTCACGGAGCACGTCTCTCTCTGTCCACGCCAGTACTCCTGGAAGCTTGTGCACCCGACCGACAAGTACTCGAACAAGGACTGCCCCGACAACGCCGAGGAGTACGAGCGCGCCACCCGCTACAACTACACCAGCGAGGAGAAGTTCGCCCTGGTGGAGGTGAGGACTCGCTCCGCTTTCTCAGGCTCGTGGGACTCTGGCCTCACCCTGCTTTTCTTTCCAAAAGCAAAGGAAAAACACAAACTGCCTCTTTTGTGTCACTGCCTGCGTGTGGGGCAGACCAGTCCCACCGATAAGACAGGCGCAGGAGAAGGGGGTCCCGGGTCCACGCCGACAGTCCCTGGGCAGGTCCGAGAACACTGTCCTTCCTGGGTGTGGGGACACAGGACGGAGGGGATGTGGGCTCCGTCCGCGAGGAGAGGCGCGCACCAGGCTGTGCACATTCCCTGCTCACAGTGCCGCGAGCGCCGCCCTTGGGATGCGCGTCTGCAGTGACCATCCCCCCCTCCTGGGCCTTTTGATGGACAGAAGTTCTTGGTTCTGTGTCAGCCAATTCCTTCTGTCTTGTTTAAGACGTCTTTGCATCCTCTGAGGTTGTGAAGGTGTTACCCTGCGTCAGCTCTAGGGTAGGGTACCCTTTTGCCTTTCACATTGACATCTGAAGTTCACTAGAAGCCGATTCTGATGAACTCACTGTCCTCCCCATGCCGCCTTACAGCTTTATAGTCATATATGGCAAAGCACGCATTTCTGCCTACTTCAGGGGTTCCTTGGCTGGTCCTGTGGTGCGCTCCTGTAATCCCAGCAGTTGGGAGGCTGAAGCAGGAGTATCACCAAGAGTGCAAGGCTAAACTGGCTACATAGTGAGTGTAAGGCCAGCTTGAGCTACGAGTGAGACCCTGTCTCAAAAAGCCAAAAAAGAAGGAAGGAAGGAAGGAAGGAAGGAAGGAAGGAAGGAAGGAAGGAAGGAAGGAAGGAAGGAGGGAAGG